GTGATTATCACAACGATGGCGTGCCCCGCTACGCTACAGGCCGACTGTAATATGTGGGCGCATGCCAAACCAATGAATGTGATTGAAGCTAGGACTGATAGAAGCAGATGACGATGAGTGAAGCGGAGTGTTGTAGTGGCAAGTGGCACGCTTACCACGTGCGCGGTCCTGGGTTCAAATCCGGATCGACTATCACCTAGGCCAACTGAGCCATGTACTCCCCGGAAGGGTAAATTGGTATCAGACTCGTGGAGTAGAAGAACATTGACTTGTGCATCGGCTGGCCCCGCAAGTCATTGTATAGGCCACATCGCATTCAATAAGCCACTACGATTCTGAATGGAAGTAGAATGCGTGCCGCATCCCACAAAGGGATTGATCAACGGCGAAGACTTTATCCTTTTATTTTATTGGGCCCCGCAACTGGTTCATTCCCATAAAAAATCCCTTCTAAAAAGGGATATCGGTAGGCTAAACTGGTAACTGGTATGGCTGTAAGAGATGGAATAATTAAAAAAATAGATATTCTATTACTTTTCACTGCATTTTACCTTCAGCAAACCAATCCAGATTTCTGATGCCGCTTGCTCTTCTATTGACTTATTAGTGGTCTTGGTTGTCGTGAACATGCGCGGGATTCTGAAACAGTGGATTGTACGTGATTCCAACTATAGGGTAATCACAGATGTTCAACAAAGGTTTGAAGTTGCCCAGGTCGTCAACGGCAGTTAGCAGCTTCAGACTCCACTTCAACGCGCTATGACGCACTGTAACGCGCGTACACGCGCTACAGTTCTGACAGCGCCCAAATCCTATGGGTGCGAATGCAGCCACAGGTGGCAGTCGATCAGCCCTGCTCTAGTGGCCAGTGCCTATCGATACCAGACTGCGGACTGAGGAGGAGCGGACGTAGGGTCGTCGCGCGCAGCGTGTCGTGCGGCGATTTGCAAAATCTCGATGTGCGTCAGCACGTGAATTGGAACAGCGGAATTCTTATACGTGAGCGGAAAGAAGACGCCTGATGGGCGGTATCGAGTCCTCTCACCTTTATGACACTCATATGTAACTCGTCCAGGCCCTTCAATAATGGGAATATGACAGGGCAATCTTGATATGCCGCCTTCGTCCATCGGGCGTGGCGTCGCTGTCATATTCCCGTTACTGAAAGTAGGGTCCGCGATCAGGTATAGAAGTTGAAAATATGGCGTCGGGAGTGTAGTGTAGTCCGCGACACAACCTTGTAGCGGCTGGCGAAGATTGCGAATTTCTAGCGCAACATAGGTTCAGTGACGCATCCTTTTTTCCAGTGCCCGCCTCCACACAACACCTTCGAGCCGCGCCTCCTTCAAGTGACAAACGAAGCTGCTCTAGGAAAAACGAAAAAAAACTTGAAATCAGCATTATTCAAGCGTCGTGAGGGTTCTTATCGGGGAATCAGCCAACGGGCGGATGATGGCGCAGTGTTGGAGATGAAGTTCATTGGGCACGTATAAACTGTGACCGATACGAGATTTTTTTTTCTAGGGCAATTGGCTTTTTTTCCTCCTTTTTTTACCTATCGAGCTTCTCGGAACCTTGTCATCTAACCCCTAATCCACTATCTGCCATTGCGAGTGATTGCAAAGCTTTGCCTTATGAGTAACTTCCTCTCCCCATGCTGCTCTAAATAGACGTGCTCCATCTGCGGACTGCGCTTGTCTATTATACACCTTCGCGAGCGTTCTGTTGCAGTTTGTAGCGCGTTAGCAGGGTTCAGACTTTGCTGCAAAATCGACTGAACGGATGCTAATCCACACGTGTATTCGTTTACCTTTTTCTTCTTTCTCCCCGTTAGCTTCTCGCTTGTTTTTTCATCTTCCTGCCACTAGTCTTTTCGAACTGTTTATCGTTTGTCGGTTATTATGCTTTTTTCCCATTAACATATTGAAAACTTTCAGATACATTGAAATTTTTCGGATGCACGGCCGTGTTGAGCGCCGCGGACTTTCCTTATTTCTGAGGTGGGTTTAGCAGGTCCCATGTAATTTTGGTTATCTTTTCCATTATCATCAATCATATTGTGTTTAGTTTGGTCAGCAGTTCAGCAAAAAGATAACCAAAACCAAAATAAACATGGAATTGCCAGCTATCAAATAGGGGCGCTATAAAGAAACTGAAAGAGGAAAGTTAACGATCGGAGAAAAACTTAGCTTTAGGCAAAATACAACCCTCTTTCTCTCGGCGACCCGCTGATGGGTTTCACACGACGATGCTCTACCCTGTACGGAACCTCTGCCTTTGTAACTCCCTTACCTCAGTTTTCGTTTAGACTCAGGCTCTATAACTTGAAATTAGCGATCGTACAGATCACGGATACAGTGCAGACTCACCTATCCCATGATGACGAAAAGAAATCTCTCATGAAAAGCAAGACAGCGTTGCTGTTTTCTAACAGTGCAGAATAGTAATTACCACCTCTGATCCAACCTGCAAAATGCCATTGACGTGGAATAATTGTAGACGACATCTCTTTCGTCAGTGATTAAACCTCACCAGGCTTCACACTTAGAATGATCAGGCTCTCTGAACGTGGGCTTTAACTTGTACTGCTTAACAGCGCCTGCTTTCGAAGGTAGTTAGCACGATACTTTAATACTTGGCCTCAAATGCTAGCAGAGCCCTATATAGTGGGAGAGGTAGCGGAAAAAAGGAGTGAAACGGTCAAAAACCTTCGAAGGAAAGATTTCGTTCCTAATGGCTCAAAAGCAATTTCGGACGAGTTTCCCGTAGGCATCTTGCCAATAACCGCTACGGTAGGTACGGCTGCACGTGTGTACTCATGCGTCCATGCAGCACCGCGGCCGCTTCATATCAATCCCTTCGCTTCATATTTTACTTAGCAACTGAAGCAGTACGAGCAGGTACGGTCGTCCATTTGTGGGCGGGCGGGAGGCGCTACGCAGCACCTGCTTAAGGTCGCGGAATTCCGTCCTGCCAGGCGGTGTCAGTCCTACTGTTCTTAGGGATTTATCGTGCCAACTGCTTCAAGGGAGGTTATGTTAAAAAGCAGTCAGATCAAGCACATACTTATCATGCTAATAAATCATGCTGCTCCACTATTCAACTATCACTACCTCAATCTTCCCTAGGCAGGCCAGATTTTGACCGAATTTCTCTGAGGGGGAACTGAAAACTCGATCATAGGGGTAGCGCCTTCGTGAATACGAATATCATATCCGCTTGTTCTGAGGTTGCCTGGAGCTCGCGCCAAGACACCCTACCACAAGATGCGCTAAGAATTCGCCCCAGGAAGTAGTTTGACCTGGTGAACACGAATGTCACAGCGTTAACATGTCACATCATCATGTTTAATCATGCCATATGTATTCCGAGATAATGCTACGGCGTCCGCGAGGAGCCGACGCGCACTCGCAAGGCCGGGCGAGTGGGGAAAGTATGCGAGGGTCCTCGATGCAAGGACGACGCCGAGGGCGACCAAGTTAGTCCGAAATTTTCGCGGTGTAGCGTGTAGCGTCCGTATTGCAACGTTAAACGTTGAAACTCGGTAACCGGACGTTGAGTGAATCTAGACAGGCACTGAGCGCAGACGAATCGATCAGTTGCCAGTGCTAGGAAAACAAGATGGTCCAGTTGCACTGGTCGCGGCTTCAAAACCATTCTCTGCGGCAAGCCAAGACACTAAGGGTGTGGTCATAATCGTCTCACGACGTTTCCGTGACTCGAAAGCTAGCGTGGAACGTTCCGAGGATCGCTGATGAAGATTGTTCTAGTTGTCGAGCAACGACTGTACCACTTCTTTTCGGCATATGCTCCGCAGACGGGATGCGCTGAACAATTAAAAGACGAGTTTTGACTCTGCTTAGAGAAAACTAGCTGAGGTACCGTAGAAGACGTCGTAATAGTTGGCTCGTGACCGTTAACGGGCAACGTGCGCAGCCACACAAAACCACGAAAAACGTTAAAGTCGTCTTGCTGTTTCGGAAATTGGACACGTAAAGCCAATGGCAAACGCATCCTAGAATATGCAGAAGCCCATTATCTCGTCATGTGAACAGCAAAGTTTCCGTAGCACGTGACTCCACCTGTAACTTCTAGCAGCGGGAGCGCAGAACACAGATAGACTTGTTCTTGTCAGGCATCGCGACCTAAGGACTTGTCAGCAGACGCGAAGGACGCGTGCGGTAATGAGATAGCCTACGTGCATCGGTGCTCATGTCTGTACAGTCCTTGTAGCTCTCCTCCATCAAATGGCGCTATCTGTAACGCTAAAGATAACACCGCCCAGGTCGAAACATATAGAGCGATGTGGTCCCGAGAGAATCAAATGGTGGCATCTAAAGGAAAAGGAGGCAGCTGTGATCTCTCGCATTCGATTACCAACCGTCACATGTGTCGACAGGATAATATTCCGCGAGAGGAGAAGCGCTATCACTTAATTCTCGGAGCCCCCTCCCCCTTTTGGCGGCCAAATACGACCCCCCCCCATAGGGATTCCCCAACCAATGCTGTGCCCTGACCCCGAGTAACTGTATTGTAGGGCAGTGCTGGGACACAAACAATACAGAGACCTGAGTTCAATCGCATCATTCGCCCAACGTAAAGCCGTGCGATTTGAACTGTTCTAGTCAGTCGAAGGTGCTGTCCGACGGCAAACGCTACAACGTTTTGTCATTCGCCGAAACTGGCATCAACAGCAATTTACTCGCATTTGTTCAAAAAAGGAAGGTACCAATGATCCGAACGCTTTCAGTGCACTGGGGGCGGGTCATTGATGAAGGAGGAGTCTAATTAGCTTGAAGCCAAAGCACTTTTGTATCTGTTCTCCTCTTCGTTTTATATGGAGAAAACCTTCCACTTTTGTGAATGGGATGACCTAATAATAACTGATGATGTGAAAGTGATGGCTAGCAGTACAGTGGAATACGAAGAGGGCAGGGACCACAAGAAATAGGTGATTCTCTAGGTCACTCTTATAGCTGGTAAAACTACACGACGCTAACAAGGTGAGAGAAGTTTCTGCAGCTCTTTTTGCCCTCAGCAATCGGTCCTCTAGCCTTTCCAGGAATCGCCTTTTGCTCTTTGTTTCCGAATGCTCATAGGCAGCGTTCAGACTTCGCGACGGCAGCGCTTCGATCGCGCGTTCGACGCGATCGATGCAGTGGAAAGCATGCGCATCGATCGACCGAAGCGCTGCCGTCGCGAAGTCTGAACGCTGCCATACAGAGATGCACCTAGCTTGGCATGATGGGTGAGGTACTCTGGAAGGGAAGTTAACTACAAGACAGCTTGAAAAACAATTCAAATCTTTGATCTGCCCACCACGTCGAGTAGTTCTATAATACGACATTTCCTTCCTGACTTGCTCTGATATACATATTTCTTCACCTTTCAGTGATCTAGTTTTTTCCTCTTTGTCAATCAGTTTCCAGTATTTTACCATGTTTTCATTGAACTCTGAAATAATTCATTAAACACTATTTCATAATTTTTTCATTGACCTTTGAAAAAACTCCTCAGAAGACAAACTCCACACCTACCTCCAAGGACGGTCCTTGCCATGTTCGTTGCGATAGTGCAGCTTGCTCCGTTCAAAAGTGC